TGAGGGGCCGATAGTTAGAGCACCCCCCCCCCCCCCTCCCAGCGGATATAGGGCGGTACCCTCTACCGTGCTTGTTGCTTTTGTCGGGTTTGCTGGGCGCGGAGGCGTTATTCCCTGCCGGGTTCGTGTTGCTCTTTTCTCTTGTCCGCTGATTCGGGGCGGGGTTTCGTGTTAAGTCTGTCTTTTCGCCCCCTGGCTGTTGTTCCGCCGAGAGGCGTTAGCGAGTTTTCGATGGCCAGGGTCATAGTTTTAGCGTAGGCGAAGGCTCCGCTACAAGTATTATTGTTTGAGCTAAGAAAAGTTAGACGACACGGAACCGGACGTTTCTAGTAGTAGTGGTAGTATCTGCCCTGCGCGTAAATAGAGTCAAGGGGTGGGAGGGAGGGTTTGGTAGTGTCTTCGCTGCGCCGAACGGGAGCGCAGCCAACGAGCGCGTGTCGGAGGTTGGTGTGTTTGGTGTCTTTTACGCGAACTGAGGGGCAAAGCTTGCCACTCTCGACGTTGGTGGCGGCGGCGGAGTGGGCAGCGGTAGGAAAGAGAGATGGGGACTCGACGGCTGGGGCGGCTACTAAAAAACGTGTTTTATGGTGCGTTGATGTAAGCAATAGGAGGCCATCGTTGGTCAAAGTGATGTTGCGCATCTGACGGCCATAAGTACGGACAAGAGTGCGCGCTGCTGTTCGAGACAAAGAGAAAAGGATACTGGGGTGGACGGGAAGGAAACGTCTCGCGTAAGTCGGGTAGGGGGCGAGTTGCGCGTTCTCAGGATTTAATTTTTGTACAGAGAAAGGGAGCGCGCGTCTCATGCCTGTACGTTTGTTCCCCCCCCCCTCTTTGTTTTGTCTTTGGTTGATTGGGTTGGCAAAATGCTCGTATCTTGTCGGTCCAAGGCGAAACGTTTTTGTTTTGTCTTTGGTCTTTTTGGTTTTCCGTTTGTTATGCCCGGGGGGGGGGGGGGGGGGGGGGGGGGGAAAAAAACCCCCTTTTGGCCCTTTAAAAGATTTTCCTTTATAGCGGGGGGCGGGGAAAAAAA